AAAGCATATAGTTAGGGCTGGACCAGGTGACCCTGAATCCTCCCTTAGTTGTGCTGCAATAAACGTAGGCTGCCGGGGATTCCCATGATGCATTGAGTTTTTCCTTTCCAGTCACCTTTCTCACTCACTATGTGTTAATAGACCTCTCTGCAGTGAATCACATCTGTTATTAACCTCTGTCTCTCTTCCACAGCATATCTTTTATCTTGTCTTCCTTCTCTCACCCCAACCGGTTGCAGCAGATGGCCGCCCCTCCCTAAGCCTGGTTCCTTCCCACTGTCACCAAGCACTTAAGTGCTTGCTCATAGGGGGTCATATGATTGTTGGGTTTTTCTCTGTATCTATGAAACGCCGTGAGGTGACTTTTGTTGTGATTTGGTGCTATATGAATTGAATTGAATTGAATAGAATTGAATTTTCTCCTTTCTGACTGCACAGAAAATGAGAGAGCGATGTACTGCAATTCTTTCTCTTTATACTTTAGTTATACACATTTCAAACTTATTTGCCTCATTAAAATCTTTTTTTATGGTTGGATTAGCAACCTAATTAAGATTTAAATCTCCATACATAAAATAATTTAATTAATGAGTTAATTAATTAGTGAATAAGTAATTATTTTTAGCTTTCACATTTCAGTACACTGGCTTTTGAAATATGCTTTTACACTATAATAACTTTGTTACTCTCCTCTGTTCCTGCTGCTCAAAGAAAAACAGTGTTCGTCAAAAGCCATTCACTTTGGAAATTTTGTATCTGCAAGAAGAAAAGTACCTGCCTGTCCACTCTTCACCACTACACCACTCACTTTTCTGGAAGATTACTTGTCCTCAAAAACACGGTGGATGCCTGGCTTTGGTTTGTTAAAAAGATACAAAGCATTTATCTTATGCTGCCTTTAATATTGTCATGATCCTGGGTCCTTTTGACCCAGCGTTTTGTGTTTTCTCTTCGTGATTGTGTCTTCTGTCATAGTAGTTGCTGGTTCGTCTGTGTTGTTTCCCCTCGGTCTCCCTGCGTCTCTCCGTATGTATTTCCCCGGACCTCCCTGCATCTTCGTTTCTGGTTTGTCTTATTAGTTTACCCAGTTTAGGTTTCTAGTTTCATGTTTTGCCACCCTTGGTGTTTGTATTGACCCACTATTATAAATAAACACTCACCTGCACCAGAACTGCCGCCCTTTTGGTCCTTACTACAAATCCACACGGCTTGCCCCGCAAACCGTGACAAATATTGTTCAGCATGACCTTTTTGGTGATGGTGGGATGCACAGACCTCTACAGACTAGGCAACATCACCCTGACTACCATTAGTAATTGGGATTCTTGAATACTTTGTCAGACCCTGAGCTGGTACAGTGGGTATTCGGTTCCCCCTGGTGCACAGTGATGCCCTGCTTCATGTGGCAAGGGTGTGCAAAGAGGTCATGGACGATGGAGGGATTGATACCACCCATGCTCACTTGACCTAAATCAATTTTGGGTCCTGCAATGAATCGGCCTTGTGTGTACGCTGATAATTTTCAATTACGTCAAACGACATGGCATCTTCATCACCCGTAACATATTACAGAGTCCATATTAGTATAAATATTCATTATTAGATTTTTTCAAATGTTCCTTTAATTTCTTTGAGCAGTATATATTATACTCTTTGAATGGATTGCGATTTAAAGAAAGGCCAAATGATTGAAAAACTGTAGAGTGAAGTTTCTGAGGCAAAGAGACAGTAAGTTAATCTCCTGCCAGATATGTTCGTCTTCCCCATGTTGACTGAAACATGTATGATATTTCCAACCTTTGTCCAGCATTTAGAAGGTCAATAATAATAATGTAATATCTTTAAATGTCTCCCTCTAACTCTCTGCCTGTGTGCTTCTCTAAGCACTTCTTCCCTTCTCTCTGTCAGTGTCATTTTCCCTCTGCTTTACTCCTTCATTGAAATCAGAACTCAGTACTAGTGGGCTATTCATTAGGAGAAGTTGCTTTTTAGCCTCACAGTAAAGCTGTTTCATTAAAGGTTATGAAGAAATGCGACTCAGTGATTATCTGACTCTTCAGGCAAAAATTGGGCTTTAGTCCTTTTCATTTCTAGTGGATCCATTTGTCTCCACTAGTGAGTAGGCAATACTCCAGGATATTCACTTCAAATTGACCTGAATGTGTTTACTAGTACACCAGGGAAATTGGAGTGTTAGATTATCGAATAGGTAGAAACAGATACAGATTTACCACACATATACAGTGGGGCAAAAAAGTATTTAGTCAGCC